CCCTAGGTATCGTATTGACCGGTGATTGTTCAGCATTGTTCATCTCTGGCTCCGCTGATCTCGGCCAGAAACCTTCAAACGTGTCCGTGGCCCACTTGCGAAGCCTGTACATCATTTATAGCTCTTTGCGGCTTGATTTTCATTCGCGAAACAGTTTAGGTGTTCCGAGGGGCTACGACGCTGTAACTGGTATTACTTTAGGCGGCCAAGTTTCCAGGATTGTAAACTGTTTATTAAATATTGGATAGTTTGCCAGCGATTAGTGCCTGGTGTGTGGGCCGTCACCACCGCCTGGTGTGTGTGGGCCGTCACCACCGCCTGGTGTGTGTGGGCCGTCATCACCGCCTGGTGTGTGTGGGCCGTCATCACCGCCTGGTGTGTGGGGCGTCATCACCCCCTGGTGTGTGTGGGCCGTCACCACCGCCTGGTGTGTGTGTGGGCCGTCACCACTGCCTGGTGTGTGTGGGCCGTCACCACCGCCTGGTGTGTGTGGGCCGTCACCACCGCCTGGTGTGTGTGTGGGCCGTCACCACCGCCTGGTGTGTGTGGGCCGTCACCACCGCCTGGTGTGTGTGGGCCGTCACCACCGCCTGGTGTGGACCACGAGTCCCTGGAGGTGTGTGACAGAGCCTAATGGCGTTCGGTTATTTATGTAAATTCCGTGTCTCGGTGTTGTGTTATAAGTTCTGGTATAATTAACGGTTCTACCGCGGGTTAAATGCTCGCGTGGGGAATTATTGGTAATTAGATTGTCAGTTATGCTTCAATGATTGTTGAGCAGATGCAGTCTCATCAGAACAGCTTGTATCAGAATGCATGTTTAATAGTTATTAACAAACTCGAGTGAGATTAATGATTGGTTGCGTACCGAGATTCGGTTTGATTTCCTGGCCAATCCTGGACGAGTTCCTCGCCAAACTCCCTCGGGGAAACTTGGTTCATGTGTTCTCAGTCATGCTAGCCAAGGAGACTATCAGGAGAGATCATTAAGTCAGTATGGCTATATATGGCAGGCTATATAACAAGCCCGCCCTAATGTTGCCCAACGTCTCTTCTAACCTACCAGAGGACCCATAACAGAAAATGGGACAAAACGTCATTTTTCGGCCGCCGCTTTCATTGTCTAGTACGACGATTTTTTTTGGGCCTTAGGTAACGCATACGCGCGAAATGCGTCGTTCTTTGTAGGAGGACAGGTTATATGTGTGTGACATTTTGTCTCTCACGTGTACACCTGGAACCATATTGACGAGATACAGTAGGTGAACCATGACTATTTTAGCTTGTTAAATACATGAATTTGACATTATCCACCGTGGGCAGTGTGGGTGGAAGGCTTCCACATATCTAGCTTTCATGTTGGTTAGAAAGTTGTTAACGAACACAGCTTAAATACATATAAAGCGCGCGCACACACTCATACATCAACATCTATACTTCTTAAAAATAAAAAAAACATGGACTCTGCGATAAATATAGCTGTGGAGTATAATGATGTGAAGACGTTAAAGAGAAGATTGGTAGTGTGTCAAATGTCAGAGATTTGTCCGGATTTTCCACTGTGAGCAGCCTGTTATCAGGGAACGATTGACCATCTATATGATAATTACCGCCTCCGACCAACTCTATCATCATTTACGCTCTAAGTCCCCGATCGTCCGGACATAGTATCCGGTGGTTGCCGGCTGTGGAGGCCGGTCCAAAGTGGTGTCCCGAGGCCGGTCCAAAGTGGTGTCCCGAGGCCGGTCCAAAGTGGTGTCCCGAGGCCGGTCCAAAGTGGTGTCCCGAGGCCGGTCCAAAGTGGTGTCCCGAGGCCGGTCCAAAGTGGTGTCCCGAGGCCGGTCCAAAATGTGGTCCAGAGGGGACGAGGATACCACAGGGTGTGGGTGACGATGCCGCACCATGGGGGGCAGGCTTGGGGCAAGGTGTGATCATAGGGGGGCTGATGTATGATGCACCGGACGATACCACCAGTTCTATTTGGAGCCGCTCGGAGACGGGAATGGGAGGTCGGTGTAATTTTCATCGAAGACAATGTGAGATAAAGTATTTTAGTGCACTGGTGGCAAGATTGTGGGTGTGTGTGCGGGTACTAACCTAATTGTCCTTGCAAGAGTTGAACTTTGGCTCTTTAGTCCCGTCTCTCAACTGTCAATCTACTAGTTTACAGATTCCTGAGTTCTCGAGTTCTATCATATCTACATTTGAAACTGTGTATGGAGTCAGCCTCCACCACATCACTTCCTAGTGCATTCCATTTACTAACTACACTGACACTGAAAAAGTTCTTTCTAATGTCTCTGTGGTTCATTTGGGTACACAGCTTCCACTTGTGTCCCCTTGTCCGTGTACCACCCGTGTTCAATAATCCAAACTTGTCTACCCTATCAATTCCCTTGAGAATTTTGTATGTGGTGATCATGTCTCCCCGGGCTCCTTCTGTCTTCCAGCGATGTGAGGTGCAGTTCCCTCAACCTTTCCTCGTAACTCAGGCCATTTAGTTCTGGGACTAGCCTAGTGCCATACATCTGAACTTTTTCCAGCTTCGTCTTGTGCTTGACAAGGTACGGGCTCCATGCTGGGGCCGCATACTCAAGGATTGACCTTACATATGTGGTTTACAAGGTTCTGAAAGATTCCCTACACAGGTTTCTGAAGGTGGTTCTGATGTTAACCAGCCTCGCATACGCCGCCGATGTTATTCTTTTGATGTGGGCTTCAGGAGACAAGTTTGGCGTGATATCAACTCCTAGATCTTTCTCTTTGTTTCGTGAAGGACTTCATCTCCCATTCATTATCCAGTGACTGGCCTCCTATTTCCTTCCCTTAGTTTCATTACCTTATACTTACCGTGTGTGTGTGTGTGTGTGTGTGTGTGTGCGCGCGTGTCAATGTCAGTGAGGACTATGGCAGGAAGAAACGGGTTGAGGTGTGAATTGCAGAAGAGATTGTGATGACACTGGTGGGAGGGTGAGGGAGCAGGCAGCACCGGTCGAGGTGTGAGACGGTGATGCAGATGCACAGAGTTAATCCCCAGGACACAAAGAACGCAGGAAGAGTGCCCAAACTTTCCTCTCTCAAGCACAACCCCCTTGGGGACCATCGCACTCCCGTGAACACACACACACACGCACACGCACACGCACACGCACACGCACACACACACACACACACACACACACACACACACACACACACACACACACACACACACACAGATTCTCAGCGGGGTTCTCTATTCTTCCCAAGAATGGACGAGCGGGCGCTGCCACACGCCCAAAAACCAGACTCAATTTAGTGAAGAGTTCAACCAATTACTACAGAGACAAAAACACTAGGGCCTGCCTCCCACCCCTACACCCACGCTCCCACACACCCACACCCACATACCCACACACCCACACACCCCACATACACACACCCACACACCCACGCCCCCACACACCCACGCCCCCACACACCCACGCCCCCACACCCCTACACCCACACACCCACACCCCCACATACCCACGCCCCCACACACCCACACCCCCACATACCCACACACCCACACACCCACGCCCCCACATACCCACACCTTCACGCCTCTCCTCCCAAAATATAATTGTACTGTTGTCGTATAATTGTAGTAGTGTTTGTTATATAATCCATCAACTTCTTGATCACTTTGTCAATATCTGATCAATATTCTTTATCATCGGTATATTTCCTTCCTCAATATTTTTTCCTCCTTTTCTTTCTGTTCACCTTGTCCTCCGTTTTTCCTCTCCTCCAACCAACACCCAATAAAATAAAATTCAACCTGTTGGATGACGACGATAGCTGCCACCTGTTGCTGACGACGATAGCTGCCACCTGTTAGTGATGACGATAGCTGCCACCTGTTGGTGACGACGATAGCTGCCACCTGTTGCTGACGACGACGATAGCTGCCACCTGTTGTTAACAACGATAGCTGCCACCTGTTGCTGGGGTTAGACAGGAGGCAACAATGACCCCCTACGACCACACTGGGGGTTAGACAGGAGGCAACAATGACCCCCTACGACCACACTGGGGGTTAGACAGGAGGCAACAATGACCCCCTACGACCACACTGGGGGTTAGACAGGAGGCAACAAGGACCCCCTACGACCACACTGAGGGTTAGACAGGAGGCAACAAGGACCCCCTACGACCACACTAGACAGGGTGACCCCCTACGACCACACAGGGTTAGACAGGAGGCAACAAGGACCCCCTACGACCACACTGGGGGTTAGACAGGAGGCAACAAGGACCCCCTACGACCACACTGAGGGTTAGACAGGAGGCAACAAGGCAACAAGGCAACAAGGACCCCCTACGACCACACTGGGGGGTTAGACAGGAGGCAACAAGGACCCCCTACGACCACACTGGGGGTTAGACAGGAGGCAACAAGGACCCCCTACGACCACACTGGGGGTTAGACAGGAGGCAACAATGACCCCCTACGACCACACTGGGGGTTAGACAGGAGGCAACAATGACCCCCTACGACCACACTGGGGGTTAGACAGGAGGCAACAATGACCCCCTACGACCACACTGGGGGTTAGACAGGAGGCTACAAGGACCCCCTACGACCACACTGGGGGTTAGACAGGAGGCAACAATGACCCCCTACGACCACACTGGGGGTTAGACAGGAGGCAACAAGGACCCCCTACGACCACACTGGGGTTAGACAGGAGGCAACAATGACCCTCTACGACCACACTGGGGGTTAGACAGGAGACAGTAATATTCCCCCGGACAATCAATTAAACAGTAACAGTCCCGAGTGCCACGGGATTACAGAGCAGACAGGCAATAGCTGGACCACTGGCGAGCTAAACACCAGGCAGGTGTGGCCCTCCCTCCCCCCCACACCTGCAAGTTGAAAATAGAAAATAGAACTTGAGCTTGAAAACAAAAATTAAAGCTCTTTAATCACATGGTCTTATATGGTAATATCTCTCAAATGGATCCCCCCAGGACTAGACAGAACACAGCAATAGTTCTCCTGGTCTATCTATAGGTAGCAATAGTTCTCCCGGTCTATACATAGGTAGCAATAGTTCTCCCGGTCTATACATAGGTAGCAATAGTTCTCCCGGTCTATCCATAGGTAGCAATAGCTCTCCTGGTCTATACATAGGTAGCAATAGTTCTCCTGGTCTATCCATAGGTAGCAATAGTTCTCCCGGTCTATCCATAGGTAGCAATAGCTCTCCTGGTCTATCCATAGGTAGCAATAGTTCTCCTGGTCTATCCATAGGTAGCAATAGTTCTCCTGGTCTATCCATAGGTAGCAATAGTTCTCCCGGTCTATCCATAGGTAGCAATAGTTCTCCTGGTCTATCCATAGGTAGCAATAGTTCTCCTGGTCTATCCATAGGTAGCAATAGTTCTCCCGGTCTATCCATAGGTAGCAATAGCTCTCCCGGTCTATCCATAGGTAGCAATAGCTCTGCTCGTCTATCCATAGGTAGCAATAGTTCTCCCGGTCTATCCATAGGTAACAATAGCTCTCCTGGTCTATCCATAGGTAGCAATAGCTCTGCTCGTCTATCCATAGGTAGCAATAGTTCTCCCGGTCTATACATAGGTAGCAATAGCTCTCCTGGTCTATCCATAGGTAGCAATAGCTCTGCTCGTCTATCCATAGGTAGCAATAGTTCTCCCGGTCTATACATAGGTAGCAATAGCTCTCCCGGTCTATCCATAGGTAGCAATAGCTCTGCTCGTCTATCCATAGGTAGCAATAGTTCTCCCGGTCTATCCATAGGTAACAATAGCTCTCCTGGTCTATCCATAGGTAGCAATAGCTCTGCTCGTCTATCCATAGGTAGCAATAGTTCTCCCGGTCTATACATAGGTAGCAATAGCTCTCCTGGTCTATCCATAGGTAGCAATAGCTCTGCTCGTCTATCCATAGGTAGCAATAGTTCTCCCGGTCTATACATAGGTAGCAATAGCTCTCCTGGTCTATCCATTGGTAGCAATAGCTCTCCTGGTCTATACATAGGTAGCAATAGCTCTCCTGGTCTATCCATAGGTAGCAATAGCTCTGCTTGTCTATCCATAGGTAGCAATAGTTCTCCCGGTCTATACATAGGTAGCAATAGTTCTCCTGGTGTATACATAGGTAGCAATACCCAATCCGAACACACATGGCTACCTACATACCACTCTGAGGTCCCATTTATGATTGACGTCCATGAGATTGCATATGTTAATGGAGGATTGATGCTACATCTGTGTTACCTCTCATCTCATCCCAGCTGTCACCCCAGATGATGCTCGGATGAGGGTGCAGCCCTGGGATTATGGTACAAGTGATAGTGTAGTAATGAAGGTCATATGGTGAGGGTGAGGAAGATGGTGATGGTGAGGAAGATGGTGATGGTGGAGATGGAGATGGTGATGGTAGGGAGTGGTGGTGGAGGTATTCGGGTTTTAGTTTAGGTGATTTGTATTATAATTTAATAAATTATTTCTATTTTAATAGATATTAGCTGAAATATTGCCTAATTTATCATACATTAAGGGAATGGAATGAAAGAAGAGTGATAATAACTGTGTTTGCCTGGGTTGGGAGGAGTACAGGCCGGTGAGAGAGAGAGAGAGAGAGAGAGAGAGAGAGAGAGAGAGAGAGAGAGAGAGAGAGAGAGAGAGAGAGAGAGAGAGAGAGAGAGAGAGAGAGAGAGAGCATAGTTATCCTGTGGCTGGGGTAGAGGGCCGGGGTGGTGAGGAAGGGAGAGGTCGAGAGGCAGCCGTCCTCCACTCACCAGTCGTGACTGACACAGGGTGGCGTGCGGACGCTTCGCTCCCGCCTCCGCAGCCTAGTCGGCTCCACCTCCGGGACTTAATATCCTCACCACACCCAGGATTATTTATTACCTTCAATAACTAGCCCGCCACTAGCCTGCCAGTGCCCGCTGTAAGCTCAGCCGAGAGGAAGTGGCTCTGTGGTCTGGTCTGGTCTAGGTAAGTTTTGGTGCTAAATAGCGCGCCTCTTATAACTTCACAGATAAACTTTTTCTATTAATTCCTTCCTGGTCGCAGCCATTGTCACCCCCTTCAGTCTTACCCCATTTTTCACATCGCTTCAATATATTTTAATCTCTTTAAAACAACAAAAAGTTGCCGTGACTTTTTTCGGACGAAAGCTAAAGCATTTCTCGGACACCTTTTTTTTTTTAATTTTTTTCCGGCTGAAAATTTGTGGATAGACTGCTGGAGTTTGATGGTTCTTTTCAATCTTTTCTCTCACATTTGTGCTGCTGATAAAGTGGGAGAGTGGCAGGGGGTGAGAGGCACTCTCCTTCCTCTCACATTACTAACACCTACAGTCAAGTACACGCAAGAATCCCTATACAATTTGTTAATGACACTAAAACTATATCAGTAATCTTAAAAACCTCGTAATACATGCCAGAATATACACAGCAGGGTTTATATATTGGGGTATACACATCAGGGTTTATATTCCAGGGTATACAAACCACGGGTTATACACCAAAGTATGCATAGAATTTTTTTTTTTAGTTGAAGTTGATATGCGACGCGTATACCACTGGTGTATGTGTGGTGCATACGACGAATATAAGACTTGACGCGTTTACGACGAGGATGGGGGGGGGGGGTATGTGTGCGTCACGCGTATACGACGAATGTGAAGATGCGTCACGCACGACGGGTGGGTGTATGTTTAGGTTATAATAACGCACATATCGTTTAGTAAGATGTGAAGCCGTCACGCGTCGCTTTAAAATGTTTTCCACCGGGGTGGAGAACTATTTAGACCGGCGGGCAGCTTCCCGAATGGATGTACACCTTGTGGGCCACACCTTGTGGGCCACACCTTGTGGGCCACGCCTTGTGGGCCACGCCATGCGGGCCACACACTTAGCATGAGTGCATTTACACGATATTTATACATACTGGTGTGATTGGTCCTCAGAATGACGATTCAAGTTGCATATCTTTGACACTGCTACACTTTCTTGCGAATTAAACACACTTATTTCTTCTATATTTTTAAATAAATATATAAATCCATCCTTTTGTTAATCTTTCACATTGTGCCGCTCCTTGAGATTTAATCCTTTTCACGTTAAATTATGGGTTGGGAGCGTCACACGAGGGGCTCGTTCTCCTTATATCTAGTACTTACAGTAACAGTTTGGTTGAACGGACACAAATGTTACAGCTATTGAGGGAGGCAGGTGTGTGAACATCTCTTTTTAACACGATAGAAGGAGGCACATTGTGAACTGCTGCTTAACATGATGGAGGGAGGTGTGAGTTACTCCTTAACACGATGGAGAGAGGTTCCTGCCGCCCTGCAAGATGGAAGAAGCAAAGTGAAGAGGACAAACAAAAGAAATAAAATTCTTCTGCCGCACTAACCTTGTGATAAATTGTTGGGAGGTAACAGATGAGATTGACCCCAGGTGTGAGGGATCGTGAGTTATCGTGAGGGATCGTGAGGGGGTTGTGAGTTATCGTGAGGGGTCGTGAGTTATCGTGAGGGGTCGTGAGTTATCGTGAGTTATCGTGAGGGATCGTGAGCTAGTGTGAGGGGTCGTGAGTTATCATGAGGGATCGTGAGCTAGTGTGAGGGATCGTGAGTTAGTGTGAGGGATCGTGAGTTAGAGGAGTGTGCGAGTGCAGAGTTCCAGCTCTGTTCCTGACATAAATGCAACACTGCAGGTACACATCAAATATTATTATCATTAAATCATACGATAGAGAAATGCTTTTGAAAAACATTAATTGTAACTCAAATGAAACATGTTGCTGTATTTTAATACAGTAATATAAATACAGTATTATATATAATAAATTCAGTTTGTTTTGGCCATAACAACACGTTTGGGCTTCACAAGCAAAGGCTTCACTAACTTGCTTTGACGCAACAGGGAACTTTAAGGACGCCCGCGAAGTCCTCTTGCAACTTCCTTAACTTGAGCCTCCAGGGTGTGTTTATACACTAGTGTAGGTGTAGTAAACCCACTGTTTCTTACACGTCTTTACCGTGAGTCAGTGATGGGTATGGTAACTGAACTGAGTCAGTGGCGAATCTGAGTATGGTAACTGGGTTTTGTCAGTGGTGGGCACGGTTTCTCAGCTGAGAGAGTGGTATTTGAGAGTCTTGCTGTGAGAGTCTCACTCACACTCACTCTCAAGACTCACATAGTCTTGCTGTGAGAGCAAGACTAACCAAGGCGAGGTTCCTAAAGCGACCAGAACGTAAGACTAATCTTGCGTCAAGTCCTAATCAACGGTAACTTACTTTGCACGGAAGCCTAACTTGGTCTTTATATCCAAATTTAAGCGAGATACTTAAGATGAGTGATACCGGACCGTCGTGAGTCTAGCTACAGACTCGCAAGCTACTGATTTCTCTGTTAAAACGGTTGGCTAGCGAGTGACACTAGACTAGGTTCAACCCTATGAAGGCACTAGATCTGGGTTCAATTCTATGTAATGTACAGATAAGCTTAGAAAATGAAGATGTCACTGCTGGTGTTTCTCGAGGAATTGTCTAAGACTTTACAAGAATCACTTAAAATTTCAAGACTGTATAAGCACTTGAAATCTCAAGACTGTGATCTTAGATGTCTGAGCTTTCATGCGAAATTCACGTAACATTATGGATTATATAGACAGGCGATGAGTCACAATAACGTGGCTAAAGTATGTTGACCAGACTACACACTAGAGGGTGAAGGGACGACGACGTTTCGGTTCGTCCTGGACCATTCTCAAGTCGATCTACCACAATCGACTTGAGAATGGTCCAGGACGGACCGTAACGTCGTCGTCCCTTCACCTTCTAGTGTGTGGTCTGGTCAATTGATTATATATAGAACTTACAATATTTAATTACATTCCCAGAAGGTTTAGGGCCTTTCTCTACTGCCTTAATTTCCCCGTAATTACATTGACCACAATACCGTAGATGGCGTCTTAAAGACCCCCAAGTTGGCTAGGCTTCAAGCCTTGCCGACTTTTATATTACACATCAAGAATCCTCTGCAACCTGACTTTTAAGAGGTGAGAAGTGGAGACACCGGGCTTCTGTCATCCAACAATCACTCAGCCACTTTACTCTTGCCATCACACTCAGGCACATATGAATAGTGATGAGTACGTTCTTAATTATACAAGACAGAACTCAATTACGGTTAATGACAGCGCGTACACATTAACACGAGTGGGATCACTTGGTCCCACGAGAACCACACACACACACACACACACACACACACACACACACACACACACACACACACACACACACACACACACACACACACACACACACACACACACACACACACACACACACACACGGACGCGAACAAGGGGACACAGGTGGAAACTGAGTACCCACATGAGCCACAGAGACGTTAGAAGGAACTTTTCAGTGTCAGAGTAGTTAACGGATGGAATGCATTAGGCAGTGATGTGGTGGAGGCTGACTCCATACACAGTTTTAAATGTAGATATGATAGAGCCCAGTAGGCTCAGGAATCTGTACACCAGTTGATTGACAGTTGAGAGGCGGGACCAAAGAGCCAAAGCTCAACCCCCGCAAGCACAATTAGGTGAGTACAATTAGGTGAGTACACACACACCGCGCGCGCGTTTATCGTATCAATTCCAAGATTCTCAAAGGATAAAGGACAGGGTGGAAAAAGACAGGCTATTTAACACAAGGGGCGCACGCATTTGGGGACACAGGTGGAAACTGAGTGCCCAAATGAGCCACAGAGATATTAGAAAGAACTTTTTCGGTATCAGAGTAATTAACAGGTGGAATGCACTAGGGAGTGATGTGGTGGAGGCTGACTCCATACACAGTTTCAAATGTAGATATGATAGCGCCCAGTAGGCTCAGGAACCTGTACACCTGTTTCCTCGCTACCTCCCACGTGATGCAAGTGTTCCCTCGCCACCCACGCGTGACGCAAGAGTGAGCCCTCGCCACCCACGCGTGACGCAAGAGTGAGCCCTCGCCACCCACGCGTGACGCAAGAGTGAGCCCTCGCCACCCACGCGTGACCCAAGAGTG